GCATAGATACAATTTTGTACCTGAAAAACCATTTCAATGGTAATATTACGATCAAAATTAAAGTAATACAAAAAATTAACAAAATTTATGGAAAATCAATTTATCCGGAATTTTCTATTCGAAAAATGTTTTCAATTTTCCTTGGACAGAGACAAACGCAACAAAAAAGACAGCTCACAAAGGACAATCCATTCTAGAGCTATGCTCGGTATTACGTAAGCAACATTGTTTTATACATATACATCAGGGTTGTTGCGAATATTTGCATTCGCATTCGAATATTTTGCGAATGCGAATATTCACATGGGCAGAAAATCCACTCTAATATTGTTGAAATGGCTCTAACAGCCAGATTCTGTGCACTTGATAAATACATTTTTTATTATTTATCAAGAATTTGAATTCTAGCACAGAGATCAAAAGCTCTTTTCTTGAAAAATTATCAAATTGAAAATGCATGAAATTACAAGCGTTTACAAATTGAAATTTCATATTAAAAATATAAATTTTGTATATTAAAAAATGTGTTTCTATCATTAATGTGTGTAAATATGTGACAATGAAGTCAGTTCCTCTCTTGTAGAAATCGTAGAGCTTTTTATCAAGGCGATTTTAAACAAGATGGTGTTATCCAAGGAGAATTTATACAATTATATTATAATTTGTTGTTGTAATTCTTTTTTGTTCTGTCAACATCACTTATAAATTCGCTATGCTTTTTATTTTATAAATATTAACACAGAATGCGATGGGAGCTTTTACTTGATAGAAATCTTGATAAATTTTCTTTACAAATAACAAAGAACGTAAATCTGTAAGAAGAGACAACACGTTATAATTATAGCGAGTGTGAACATCAGGTGCGTGCCTTCTCTTTTGCCCTAATACGTTTGTTGAATGGTTGAAAAGAGAAGGCATGCTCCTGATGTTCACACTCGCTACAATTATAACGTGTTGTCTCTTCTTATAGATTTACGTTCTTTGCAAATAATTTATCAAGAAAACACAGAATTGGGCGATAAGTCTGTCTAACCAGGGTGCTTGAGCTTCAGGCATTAACCGGTTAAGTAGTATATCAAGCAACATTGATGGGCCTTCAACAAGTTCTGCTAAAAGTCTTATAAGCAACCTAGAAATAATTTTAGATTCCTCCAGCGATGTAGAATCTGGAGACATTAAAAAATGTGAAATTAAAGCTCAATTGAAGGCCTATCTTAAAGAAAAACGAGCTCGTCTCGGTGAAAATCCTCTCGATTGGTGGAAAAATATACTAAAATACGACAAATTGACAAATCTGGCTCGCAAATATTTGAGCGCTTCACACGCCAGCGTTCCAAGTGAGAAATTGTTCAGTGCAGTCGGCCTTATATACGAACCTCTAAGAAATCGGCCCATGGAAGAAAGGGCAGCAAAATTACTTTTTTGAAATATAATATGCCCCTTATGAAATTTGACTACTACATTAAAACACTGTATTGGTTAAGCACTCGTTCAATGTTCTATTAATTAACAAAATTTTTAAGTAATAAAAATGATGACTAAGTTGATTATTGCTATTTTAATGTTGTTCCTAACATTCGCATTGGCATTCGCACATTCGCATTCCGAAAATTCGCATTCGCAATATGACATATTGAAACATCCCTAATATACATATATAGAGTTTTAAATATTTGTCAACCCTATCCAAAATATTAATTCTGGTTAAGAGTGCATTGAAATGCCTTGCATTCGCTGAATACGTTGAAATATTTTACTCGATATATATTTAAATCACTTAGGCGCGTATTCATAGTCCAGCAACTAAGTCGAAACTAACAAAGTTGCAACTTAAATTTAAGTACCAACTTAAAATTTACCTCTATTCATAGTCGCATTTCAGACTTCTGGCAAACATTTTTTTAGTTTCACTTATTTCAACATATATTGATTAAAAGAAAAATACTGATAAAAACAAAATATTTCACACAAACCACAAAAAATATAATCGATAATCGCATGAGGCTATTGCCTGAAAATTTTAAAATGCGCTTAGTGGCATTGTGCTACAATTATAACACGGCCGAGTAATGATTGTAAAGTTATGTACAGTAGTCGAACAAATTATAGCCGCACCAAATTTTCACAAGTTTTAAAATATTATTTTCGCTGTTATTTAATTTTGGTTAGTTTTTTAAACGTTCGAAATTTGTACGAAAGTTTTTTTTTAATATTGCAAAAATTTGGAAACTTAGATTTACATGGGTTTTGTTAAAGAATCAACTATATTTTTATAAATGAAATAACAAAAGTTCAATAACAACAAAAATAATACGTTAAAACTTTGCAAAAAGTGGTTCGACTATAATTTTTTGACCACTGTATGTATAGATGCCAAGCTGCCAATCTGAATTGTAGCGGCACCATATATGGCAAAAGAACGATGCTGCTGGCGTATGCAGAAGGTATCGATAGCGTAGGTCTGAAACAAAGGGACGTAACCGCAGCATTTTCCAGTTAAGAAAAAGAAGTTAAAGGGGTTGGTCTAGCGGTGAACGAGGGCAAGACAAAGGACCTCCTTGCAACATATAAAGAGTCCACGCGTTTCCGGACACACGTCACTGTTGGCAGATATAACTTTGAAGTAGTGAAGGACTTTGTCTACCTAGGATCCAGCATAAACACCACCAACAACGTCAGCCTGGAGATCAAGCGAAGAATAACTCTTGCCAACAGGTGCTACTTTGGGCTCGGTAGGTAATTGAAAAGCAGAGCCCTCTCTCGACGAACGAAAATCACGCTCTACAAATCTCTCATCATGCCCGTCCTTTTATATGGCCCAGAAATTTGGACGATGTCGAACAAAGATGAGAAGGCTTTGGAGGCTTTCGAGAGAAAGAACTATTCTACGCAAGATCTACGGCCCTATTTTCGTGGACGACGGGTATCGGAGAAGATGGAATGACGAACTGTATGAGCTTTTTTACGACATGCACATAATTAATCGCATAAAAATACAGCGACTGCGCTGGCTTGGATATGTTGTACGCATGGATGACGACGCTCCGGTGAAAAGATCCTTCGACTCCGCACCCATGGGTGGCCCAGAAATTTGGACGATGTCGAACAAAGATGAGAAGGCTTTGGAGGCTTTCGAGAGAAAGAACTATTCTACGCAAGATCTACGGCCCTATTTTCGTGGACGACGGGTATCGGAGAAGATGGAATGACGAACTGTATGAGCTTTTTTACGACATGGACATAATTAATCGCATAAAAATACAGCGACTGCGCTGGCTTGGATATGTTGTACGCATGGATGACGACGCTCCGGTGAAAAGATGCTTCGACTCCGCACCCATGGGTGGACAACGAAAGCAAGGGCGCCCACGAACGCAATGGAAGAACCAAGTGCAGAAGGACCTGTCTGCACTCAAGATAACCAACTGGCGGAAATTTGCACAGGAGAGAAGCAACTAGAGAAACTCCAAAGTGGGCCACCCAAAATTGGACGGTCAAGATTTTTTCGCACATTGCACTTAATTCGGCATACAACTATAAAAAAAATTTAATTTGAGCAATTTTGCAAAATTCGAAGTTTTACAAGAGTTATTTTTATTAATTTTTTTTTGATGACTTCAGTAATTATTTATTATCCACTGATTCATAGCATGTATCTTGCTGATTTTTTTCATGACAATAGCTAATTAGACACGCTTTAGCCTGATTGTTTCAATTTCTCAAATAATCATTATTTTGTACAAAATTTTTAATTTTTATACAATTTTGTATAAACAAATCGAAATATTTATTACTTCTCGATCAGATTTTTTAATCGTTTACGTTGAATATCAATCCTTATTCTATAATATATTATGAAAAAAAAACAACGGAGTCGCTAGTTATTACTTTTTTCACTCCTGCCACGGGTGCTTTTGCTTTCATGCCGCTTACCGCGCGGACTCGCAGCGAGAGTGGTGCAACCAGAGAACGCACCAAAAAAATAAAATTTATTTCTAAACATAAGCATAGATACAATGTTTTTTAAAGTTGTATACATAAATATGTACATACATAACATGCATCTTTATTTATGTATGTATGTACTAGAGGTCTGCATCGGAAATATTTGGCTTCACATTGAAGTTTTCTAGCGAATACGCTTCCTTCTCTTCCTCTCACTGAGAAGGCGGATAGTGAAGAGAAGTATAGTCGCTAAGCGTCGAGTAACTAAGTAAAGTACTCGACAAAAATATGTTCCGAAAAAGAGAGGTACATAAAGGAGGAGTACTACGTTGTGAAACTTCCGCAAGTAAAAGGTTCCTTCATGTGAAGTTTTCAAGTATTTTAGGAAGATTTTATTTGAGAGCATAATTTATGGCCCCTATTATCGTTTGCGAATCGCTGGAAAAAATGCGCGGCTCACCAAAATTTGTATTACCGCTAGCGAGTCGCTGTGTGACGTTCGCGTCAAACGGCAAAATGAAGCGAATGTAAAAAATGCGTAGATTACAGGCTAACCTAATATTCGCGGCTTGCGTTTTGGTACGCATGCCGTCGAATTTGTTTTTTTGCGTCACCCGAAATTGACTTGCATGCGTTTGCATTTGATTTCATTGAGCGAAACGTCAAATCAAAATGTCACGCAGAACAAAAATTGGAAATTGAGTTAGCTTCATACGCACGCCGTTCAATTTCGGTTGATCTCATACAAGTTGCATGTGCATGAGAAATTTTTGACAATAAATTGGCGGCGTGCGTGAATATTAGGTTAGCCTGTTACTGTTAGCGACTCGCCTAAAAACCGTTCGCCGCAACTGTCAAAATCTAGCGAATCAAATTTGAACGTGAATAGCGGATAGAATTTTGATAAAATATTAAAAAACCCCCAGAAAAAGATGGAGAATACAAAAAAATGGTAAGATTAACAAAAAACGTAAGCTAAATGCAAATAAAAAGAGTTTTTGGTTTGTAGTGTGAAGAAAACAAATGCACATCAATTAAAAAAAATTGTTGAATTAATGGAAGAGCACCCAGAAGTAGCCAAAGGGCTTGGCAGCTTTAGTTCGGGCAAACAAAACAACACAGAAATGTGGGACAAGTTCGCTGGTGATTTGAACTGTCTTGGACCCCCAATGCGAGATGGCAGAGGTTGGAACAAGGTACCTATGTAATTGAACGCAGATTTCAAGAAAATTTACATTAATTTTTACCAATTTCAGTTATGGCTGGACTACAAATTAAAATTGAAGCAAAATATTGCTGCCAATAAGAGAGAGAGCGTCGCTACTGGCGGGGGACCCTTTACTCAACTGAGTCTTTCACCTTTGGAGCAATCAGTCGATTCATTGCTTGGTCTTCAATATGACGTTTGTCCAAGTGGAAGTACTTTTGGCGGCATCAGTAGATCTGTCAAAAAAGAAGCAAGTGCGCATATACCGGACACAGCAATTGAAGACACATTTGAAGCTGCTGTAAGCGAAAATACAGAAGGAACCACCGGAAATATGGAAGACATTAGCCGTTGCATACAAGTTACGCCTTCTAAAAAAAGAAAACTTTCCGCATCTGCTGTTAACGAGAGGGAGGAGGAGCGCATTAAATTTAAAAAATGCAGGTAGAAGGTCAGCAAGAATTGATCGAAAGAGCAAAAAGTATTGGGCAGTATTTATACGATATAGCGAGATATAAAAGAAAAAGTTTAGAAATAAAGAAAGAAAAGTTGAACCTTTTGAGAGAAAAGGAAAAAATAAAGAATAGGGAGCGGCAAGAATGTGCAAATATGCATAAAGAAAAGCTCGAGTTAAAATTCAAAGAACTTGAACTTAAAAAACTAAAATATGAGCTAAAGAAAGACGGTTTTATCTATTAATATTTTTATGTATATATTTTTTTTCATATCCGAAGTTGAATTTAAGTTAAATGGATAAATTTAATTTGATAAAAACTAGTGTATTCTTTTAAATATAGAAGAAAATAAAAATTACAATTGAGGACTATTCAAATAATGAATGCATTATTTCGGACCTTCGCAGATCCCCTTCATTAGAATGAATGTCCGTATTTTCCGGTTCCTTTTGAACAACTGGATCGATGTAATTTTCAACAGCATCTGGACTTTCAATATTAAAATGCAAACAAATGTTGTGAAGAACACAGCAGGCGTTGACTATTTGTGTAGCTTTGTGCGGAGAATAATGCAGTTTTCTTTTCCCGACTAGGCATCGAAAACGACATTTCAACACACCAATTGTTCTCTCCACAATATTTCTCGCTTTCGCATGCTGTGTGTTAAAGGCTGAAGCTGAGATCACACGATTGCCGCAAATGCACCAATCTGGAAATATTTTTATTGTGCTGTCACGGTGGGACTGAACCAAATTTAAATCGAAGGTCATAGCACATCATTTTTTATAGCTAATTTGGGTTATTTATGTTATAAATAATGTGTAAAAATTTTATAGCCCATAACTTGTCGAGCCGTTTTTGAAAGAACTCATTTTAAATAAAATGTATTCCTTTTCTTTTAAAATTGTCATACATACGTATTGGACTACGGATTTAAGCATTACATTGGCCCCTTTTAAAAATTGTAATGTGAAGGAAACACTATTAAGGCTACAACACTAGTTTTTTTTTTTTTATGTAATACATAAGTTGTTTTAAAAATGCACAACTAAATTTTTATTATTGAAAAGATCATCGTTTATTTCTACAAATTGTACCGGCTATAAAGCAAATTTTTTATTTACTAGTATCGCCCAGTTGTCGGAATTCGACATCTTTTTTCATACAATTTTGAATTTTACCGGTCACAAATACTAACTCCTTTATGCGAATTACATTTTGAAGTCCACCAGCATATTTATAGCGAATTTACAGGAAAACTTAAAATCGAATTATGAACGTTAATACCGGATTGATTAATGCTAATTCTATCAAGTCTCCTCCAAATTTCTTCAGTTGCTTTTGAAATTAGACCGAAAAAGGAACCTCGATTTTCATTTATAAAAAATATGCATATGTATTTGTATGTACAGAAAAGATGTTCATCACTGACTAATATGTCAAGCATATACCAATTCAGACTTTAAATAAGTTTTTCGATTATATTTGTCTGAGAGCCTCTTGGAGGTTAAAAACTAAATTGCCCACATCTACATAAACTCTTTCTTTTTTTCATCAGAATCGTTAACGGTTGAGAAAGTATCTTGAAGACTTACAACAGAAGATAATATTTCCTTCTCTAACGGCGGTTTCACGCGGGTTTTGGTCAAGACTGGGCCAAAGCCCAATATTTTTCCATCACACGACTGGGCTACAAAGTTACACCAAATTTTATGTTACTAATATGTGTTCTAAAAGTGAAACAAATCTGATCATAAATATGATTTTTCATAGAAATCGATCAAACGGTGCCTTCAAAAAAGGGATTGCAAGATTTTCTTGTGGCGTATTTATATATAGATTATATATGTACTTTCGGACACCTAATAGGAGAACAGCATGGTGTTTTACATACAACCCTTTAAATTTTTTAAACAGTAGCTTATATGTACATGTTGAGCATTGTATTCTTGTACTGCTCTCAGTAATTTAGATGGATATACCGGATGCTTGACGAATACTTTATATTTGTCCCAGTTCCTTTAAAGTCGGAATGTAGGGATTCTACATCTTGCTCGCTATAGAATCCTAGACCCTTGCCTACATGCATGCATGGTCTTTTGGCCTTGCAAACATGTTATTGTTTTGTAGATATACTTGACACAAACTATTGCAAGTATAAAGAATACTTATATTCGAAACTTAAAAAGAACAAATGTTGTGCGCGCACAATCTTCTCGTTTGAATTGAATTTATCGGCATCTTGTGCATAAAACAAGCCAAGACACTTGAACCATATACTAACTTGATTGTATATAAATCGTACAAGTTACATTACAAAATAAATATAAACTGTAATGTATCAATCTGTCATCTAGAGCGGGTGCGTGAAAATTTTAAAAGAAAAGGAATAATTTCCTTTCAAAATGAGTTTTTTGAAAAACGGCTCGATAAGTTATGGGCTATAAAATTTTTACAAGTTGTTCATAACATAATTAACCCAAATTAGCAAAAAATTATGATGTGCCATGACCTTCGATTTAAAGTTGGTTCAAGTCCACCGTGCTGTATTGGAGCACAATAAAAAAATTGTCCCAATCAAATTCTGTACAGTCACACGGTTGCCTCTTTTTATACAATTTTGATTGCCGCAAGTTTGGGAAAAGCAATATAGTAACAATAATTGCCCCAAACTTATCACACGATTGTTCTAGCATGCGGCAATCGTGACAATAAGATGTTGCGCTGACTTCTAAATTCTGTTTTGTTCTTTGTTGTGTAAAAATTAGAGTTGTCAAACTATCGATGGCACTATCGATAGTATCGATAGTTTCAATTTTTTTAGACTATGAATACTCATTGATAGTTTTTTTTTATACTATCAAAAATATCGATAGTTTAGTAGGACTATCGAACTATTGTTGGTAATACCTGCATTTTTTAATTTGAATTAAAAATTTTGTTTTTTAGTCATATTCAAATATGCACTCATTTAGGCCAACATACATACATGTGTTATTCGTAAATCCTGTTTTGTTTGCATAACTTGTGTTTGTTTTTGAGCTTTCTTAAAAGAGAAGTATTTTGGCTAAGCAGTTACTTAATTTTGAATGAATATAACTTTTATGAGATAATATTTATTTCACTATGATCCTGTAAAAACAAAGAAACCTAACTGATTTAGCGTTGTCGATAGCGCTATCGATAGTGCTATCGATAGTTTTGTTTTTTTCGAGACTATCGTGAATATTGATAGTTTTTCTGAAAACTATCAAAACTATCGATGGTGTGCCTATCGATAGTCTGACACCTCTAGTAAAAATGGCGTATTCTTAAAAAATAAAATTGCATCTAATTTATATATTGTGGGCTCATTTTATGCATATTTGTTGTTTGAAAGCAAAGCAGCAAAAACTTGAGTCCAATGAAAACTGACGCATTTTTTTAGAAGTTTGACTATATAGTTTTTTTTTCGACGATATCTGCAACGTGATAAATATGTGGAGTTCAAGTTACAAGAGTTTTCTTTTTAATTTTGGCTTTTTTATTAATTACAAGTAAAATTGGTACAAAATAATTATCTATGTTTAAATGAAAGCTGTGAATTTATATAATTTATGTTTGGAATGAAATTTTATAATTATATCCACAGCTCGAAACAAAAGTTAACACCTGAATATTTTAATCAGTCTTGACTTTTTTCTTCTGTTTGTTTAATGTTAATTTTTTCTATAAATCCATAGCTCGTTGTTTAGTAAAAACTTTATACAAGAATTATAAACATTTCTTAAACTTTTGATCACAATTCAATGGTTTTTAATTTGGATTTCTAGAAAAAATTTGTTATGCAGTTTACAAAGTAATTTGCATAGAAGAAAGTGCATAATACCGCCAGCTAAAAAAAATATAAAAAATCTACAAGATTTTTTAGCAACTTCAAACTTCCACCTTATTAAATTTTAATGAGCTATAAAACTGAATAACATTTTTTTTTCTAGAAATCGAAATTAAAAACCATGCAATTGTGCTCAAAAATTTAAGAAATTTTTATAATTTTTGTATAAAGCTTGCAATTTGTGCGGTTTTATAGAAAAATAACGAACACTAAACAAATAGAAGAAAAATAGGGGTACTTTTTATGAGTTTGTACAACGATTTTGGGTTGCTTTGCCCAAACGCGTGAATCGAATCAAAAAACTTTTTTGGGGAGAGGGGTGACTTTTCATAAAGCGGCGTTCATCCTACTTCGTTTAGGGGGGGATTTGGGGATTCTTCTCGTATGAGATTTGCTTGTGGTGGTATATATCGCAGCAAAGGTTCCGTCATCGGACTTCAAAAAAATTATAATTTGAATACAAATTAAATAAAATTTAAGGTTATGTGGCTTCCGAAAACAAGGATATTCATTTCAGTCATTTTTGGACACATAAGGAAGCAAACAAGTAAATTATTAATAAACAGCCAAAATATTGTTGTGTATTGCTTCAATTTCCACACAAGAACACAATAAATATTGCCGCAATTTTGAAATTATCATTGCCCCATGATTGCCAATCGAGCTATCCACACGATTGCCGCAAGTGGGTTTATTTGATTGGGCATTGTAAGCACAATATCGGCCTCTATTGCCGCATGAGTCAATTTATTGTGAAATCACACGATTGGGGCATAAAATGAGGCAATAATTGGTGTATTGCGGCAATCGTGGGATCTCAGCTTGACTCTCTGCTGCCAGTGATTGCACTATGAAATGATGTCATTAAATAAGGGCTTGAGGGGTACCCAGAATCCCCTATAAGAAAATCAATTACATATTGGAATTAATCTGGTTAAACTAAACAGCATACCTAAATACATGAACCTCGTTCTCTATTGCAGTACATCCTTTGCAAGATTTCTTTCAGTTCACTGTTTCCCCAATCAAATGAATCGTGTGTTGAACGTGGAAAACGGCCGTCTACACACCGTATCACTATGTTGTGATCACAAGCCTGAAAAATATAAATTATACAAA